GAAGGGATACGCCTCGGTAGTTGTAAAAGAATTGAAACAATCAGGCAAGTAAAAATATTTCATTGGGGTTAGATGTAAGTTCAAGATTAATACAAAATGTTGCAAAAATCGGTTGACGGAATCCACATGTTCTACCTTACTCAGCACCGTGTTTACACTCCTACTTGCAGCTTCGGCAGTTGATCTTTAACTGATTTAAATACTCTAAGAAGAACGTTCTCAGCATCTTTGCTACCTTTTTTTTTGCATTTAGTGCAGTAGCAGGCCGCAGTAGCCTTAAGGTGTTAGACTCGACATTTTCGTATACAGATATGAGAATGCTTGATGTTGGCGTCGACTGTATATGGTTAAGTAAAGCAATAGCAGCTGCTATGAATTTCTCCTGAGTTTTCAGAAGTATGGTTGCAGGAGCTAAGTAGTAAGGGGAAAGGCTCCGTCGTCTACGAAGAAATATGAACAAAGATGTGGCGCAAATATTCCGGCGGAGGCAGCTCCAAATGCAGCCCTACTAATCGTTTCGCAATGCTGCTACACGCAAAATGAAAGTGTTTATAATTGAAAAATAGGAAACTTCTGTGAGATAGAGCTGTAATGAAAGCGTGTTCACCATTTTTAGCCAACAGAGTAAGAAAAGCTCCACTTTCCCCGAAACGCATTTTCGCATGTTTTCCAAATTTCTATAGTAGGTTTGGTCATCACTGTAGGTTGCAGTGAATCCAAAGTGCTTTACAAATCTCCTTAACAATTGCACTCACCGTTATCCTACTCAGTCAGTTACTAAATGTCACACTTCAGTATGAATTACCTGTTGCAAGATATCTGAAACAAGCAGCACAGGTATGAGACTGTGGCACATCTTTCTTATGCTGTTCGTTAGTTATTCGTTAATAGTGAATGAAGTAGTATCGTATGTTAAGATTTATGTTCCAGTGCAGAAAATAAGGTTGAATAAAAGAAATTGCAGGACTCATATATGCAGGTCATGTTACAACAGCAGACTAGAAGCGAGGAACTCGTAAAAAAATTAGACCCTGGAAGTAGAAGGGCCAGATGTATTCTCTTGCATGTAATGCCACACCACGAGAGTAAGGTAGAAACTCCGGGTTATTCAAATAAACTGTTTGATTTGTCTTTGTTACAAAACTCACTGTAATGTACCTGCAGTTAACGATGATGAGAATACAGACACATCAAATCTGCTAACGGATAAAGCCGATGAAAACACGAAGTTGCGAAAGAAATAGAAAGCTAAAACGGTCAACGGTCATCGTTGACAAGGTCATAAGATTTCTTTGTTAAGGATAAGAGACAGAGTGGAGAATTTGATTTATTTCTTGCCAGTGCATGTGAGAGCACTTGGAGAGCACCAAACATCTTCCTCTTGACCTACAACTGCGGATTAAGAAGAAGAAGAATTTACGTACACCATTTTCCTCTCTTCCTCCATAATCTTACTCTTTAATATTGTATCCTGTAGTCAAGTCCAGCTATTCACTGTCCAACAGTGTAAAATATTATACATATATACCATCTAGAAACATCACAGCTTCCATATCCGCCCGCAGTGGATTAGAACTATTTTCGTCTCAACTAATATTGTAATGTTCGTGGGTTTAACAGAATTAACTTCTAATACTGATAACGATAAAAACTATTTGTTTACACTAATTACTGAAGAACTAAGACTATTAAATTATTACTAAACTTAGGTTATGAATTACTCTATATATTTACACTACTGTTGATATATCACTATTCACTGCGCTATTTATTTCTGGATTCACTTCTGCAACGGTCAATTTATTTCTATTTATCTCGGCGATCGTCACTTCCTTTAAATACTCTTTTGTCTACTTTCTTGAACCTTCTGGAAACATCCGGATTAGTTTATTTTTTATTTTGAACTGTTTAACTGCTTTCCCAGAACGCAAATACGTCACACACATTTACAAATACGGCGCACATGAAGAAAGGCGCCCGCGTCTAGTCGGCGATTTGATAAGCCGTTCACGCACACGTGTGCCCGATCGCACACAAACACACTCGTGCTCGCTACAATACCGGTAAATCAAATTTATCTGCCTCTTTTTAAACAGTTATCGTTCCTCTGCTGGTACGCTTTCTCTACAGTTTGTTTTTTACTTTCCAATCACATTTTCAATCTTAACTAAAATTTCATCAAGCTGATTAATCGCCAACCGATAATACCCGGGAAATTTATTTTCTTCTCCTCCCAGTTGATGAACGGTGATTCCACGATTGACCAATGAATGTTTTCGTTTGTTTTTGTCGTGCTCGAGCGTCCGCACGTTCTTTGACATTTTCTCGCCCCTCTGAGAACTTTTTGTATCATCGATAAGCGTTGCTTCGGCCCAAGATAGCTTCATCATATGCCACAGTCAACATTCGGAATGCGTCCGCGCACTCAATTTTATTTTTCATATAAAATTTGATATAGATTTATTGATCCATTTTTTTGGATTAGCAAAAATCGATGACGAGCCAAAATACATGCAAGCAAAGCAGCTGTCAAAAATTAACTGAACATTCAACATGGCCGAAATTGTCAGTATAAGTGAGAGACACGTGTACTAACTTAACGCCACAGGCAAATCGAAAATCGAATATACGTAACCCGTGGAAATTCAAAATTCGCGATACTTTTTGAACAGACCTCGTATAAGTGTAACTGTGTGAATAACCAAATTTATCGTTAAAATCATTAATAAACACCTTCCGATAATATTCATAAAGTGCATGTCCATTATAGCACTCTTTTTTCGGCTACATAAACTTTGCTTTCCTTTAAACGAGCTTATGGGCTTTCTTACAGCTTTCAAAACAGTTGGAGACTTTCCTTAATTCGTATGAACATATTTTCCTCTCACATCAATTGGTGTCTTATCACATTTTTCCAGTGACTCTTGTATGGTTTGTAGATGTCTTCTGGTAATCTCATGTAGAGATTTAAATGCTTTTTGATAAACCGGTACTTCAATAAAATTATTATCATGCCTAATTAACTAATACGGTTTATTATGGAAAAGGGTCATTCCTTCCTCTTGTCGCGGTTTTCGTTGCTTTATTTTACACATTGTTATTAAACCAGATAGATACAAGCTTTGTTTATTTCCAGTTGACATATCATTAAACTCCCTGATAATTCGTTTTCTTTCAGGAAGTATTTCGTTTTTAACACACTTTCAATCTGACCAGCTCATAAGACCTGCTATCCTTCCAGTACATTTTTTTTTTCTTATTCTGACATTCAACCTTTCTCACTGTATCAGATTGTTTTCCGAGTCCCTCATAATTTTCAAGATTCTAAGATTCTAACAATATAAACACCTTTTTACTTTCACGTCAGTAGTAGTTAATGACCCATATGAATATAAGGCACAGAGAGTAATTGTTAAATTAGTTCTAAGTTTGGTTTTGTACCTCTTTGACCTATTTTTAATAAAGTCTTTTCAAACGTTAAATCCTTTTTCGTATAATATCGACTTGGTTCGATTAAGTGTTATCGAAGGGTTAGTGTTTCAAATACGAAGACTTTACAATTGTTCTATTATTGTTAAAACTGCTATTATTTTACATTTAAAGGCAACGTCCTGGTGTAAATTAAAGGTGTCTTTAACAATAATTAAGTAGAACACCTAGTTAAACGTACCTGGGATAAAAACAACGTATTGTAAGCTGACCATAAGGAATCCTTCGGACCAGTCTTCAGCGTCGTGACGTAACAGTATGTACAACCTACATATAAAATATTAAAGAAACACGATATGTCGAAATGACTTGACGCTCTCGGTAACTAGAATTCATGATATTCATCGGTTTCGCCATGTTTACTGTTACTTCAACGTTTTTCCCGTGGACACCAAATCTTATTTTGTAAATAACTCGCAGACTTCTAGCAATATTGCTATCTTGCCCTTTCTAATGTATTCTACCCTCACTAAACATTTTTTTTGATACCCCTACCCTATTTTACCCACTATCGTGATTCGTATCGATTTTGCAGTGTAGTCTTCTTATGTTTTAGAAAAATCAAGAAAAATAGTTTATTTTTTACCTATTGATTAAGAAGTTAGAGAAAAAAGGAAGGCTAATTTGGCTGTTTCTTTCTGACACTGGCTTTTGGCTTTTATCTACAGTCAATACTATTACTTTTTCCACTTTAACCGCGCGTTCACGTGACTCGACCTCTTAACTGATTAAATACTAGTATGTTTTGTATATCTGTGCAGTATATCATCAATGGTTAGATAAAACAGTTATTTTTATTGGGTCATCAGACCAAAACATAGTTAAACCTAATTTTATTCTTCCTTACCCTGAATTAATCAAATAATTTTGTGAAAAGCTATGTTCTTAAAAAGATTAAATATAATAANAACCTTTTTGAATGTAATATTTCTTATACCTAGTAATTTCAACAAAATTTACTACAATTTGCATATTTTTTTACTGACTCCTTTTTAGGGTTTTGTACCTCAAAAAGAAAAAAAGGAATCCTTATGGGATTACTTTGTTGTCTGTCTGTCAAGACCTTTTTTTTCTCAGAAACGTGTGGAGGAATCAAGTTGAAATTAATAAGAAAAACGAAGGTCTGCATCCTCCTGGAGCTGTGAGATAAAATACGCAAAATTTGACACTAGCAAGGGAATCAAAACCTACAGTTGATATAAAATCATGTTTGACAAGAAGTGATGCCTTATAGTACCAGTAAACGGAAAAATCTTAAAAACTAAATTTGTAGTAATCATTGTTTAATTGTAATAATGTAATTATACGTTTTGGGGTCTAAAACCTAAAACATGCTAGGAAAAAGCGGCAAAAATATTCGAGACGCGATTTCCATGACAGACGAACTATTTATATAGTTTCTACGGAACTCTCTGTACGTGAGTCCAACTCTCATTTGACCAGTTTTTAAATAGGAATAATAACATACAACTTCATTAACACTTCAATAGTTATACTCAAGTGGTACTCACCAAGAGATCCGCAATAGCAAGATGAACCAACATATTATTTATTCTCGAAGGTGTAGTTCTTTTTCTTCGTATAAGCAACACTAACACTGTAATGTTTCCAATGGCGGAAAACACCATTAATATACTGTACACAATTATGGATAACCTATGTCCGTCATTAAATCTCATGTCTATAGGTAGATCGAGTCCACCAGCTTCCAACGTGCTGTTGATTGAAGCTTCCGACCAATCATCTAAGACTCTGTGGTCTTGAATTCTATTGTTGGGTTTCATTGCGAATCTTTGGGAGTCCAAACGAAGTGAAAACTTCTGCCTACATTCGATTCTGGAAAACTGCTGTAAAGAAAATAAAACAATTACTATCTTTGAATTTTATATTTTCAAACAATTGAAAATTTTCAATGATTTATAACAATAAAGTAACTGGGTAAGTGCAAGTCCGCTTTGCGCATTGGGGATGTCATACTTATCAATCTATAGTACAGTCGAAATAAGAAGGCAAAGTCCCCAATAAATAATGCGCTCTAAAGGCATATCGTTTTTCTCGTTCTTACAAACGGAATATATCCTGTCTTCACTCTCTAAACACGCCTCCTTCACAGCTGCGTCGATACCTGCACCTACGTTTCATAAGAATCAATCGAATAAAATGAGACGATCGATAACATATTTGTCTTGTCATTTGTACCTTCATAAAATGTGCAAATTTACAGGGTCGGCTTAATTTAGTTGGTATATTTGTGCTAATAGTCATCTCTCTACATTTATTGGTAGCTCATTATAATATCATTAGCCTAATATAAATTTCAACAATATTAGCAAAACCCACAACACTAATAACATTATTTACAACAGGAACAATTACCTCAACAAAACAGAGAGATAATTATTCGTACAAATAAACCAAGTAAATTAAAGGTAGTTGTCGTGTGATGGGCATAGATTGTAAATTTTAATATACTCATTAAGGAAATTATAATTTCTTCAAAATTTGAAGTCGATTGACCTCCTCTAATTCGAGATAAACTTAATTATAGTTCAGGTCATTAACATGGAAAGTATACTATGTAGTAATTGTAATAATTGATTAATTCTAATAAAAAACGAATAGCCGGAATTTTTCAGAAACTAACAGTTCAGAAATGTTTTTGTTGTGAACTTAAAAATGAAAAAAAATATNTGATGTACAATCGAAATTATATAAATATTATTTCCGTTGTTGAGTTATATTAACACAACGCTTAAAAATATGAGATTTTGTATCAATATGAAATACAGTGTTGCACGATTAAAAGAGCAATAATATTTGTAGATGTGTGGGTATGTATGAATACAGACTCGTTCAATCTGTTTTGATGTACAATCGAAATTATATAAATATTATTTCATTGAATTATCTTAGATCTTACAATAACTTTTTCACCATACTCTAGCACGACTACTACCTTAAGCCGATCCTGTAAATTTGCTCATTTAATGTAGGTACAGGCAATAAGACAAGCACGTTTTCAACCGTCTAATTCTATTCGATTGATTCTTATGAAACGTAGGTGCAGGCCTCTACGCAGCTGTGGAGGAGGCGTGTTTAGAGAGTAAAGACAGGATATCTTCCGTTTGTAAGAACGATAAAAACGATATGCCTTTAGTGTGCATTATTTATTGGGGACTTTGCCTTCTTATTTCGACTGCACTATATATATTTATATTTCATATACTCAGTACGGTGTACGTTTATAAGGACTGTTAGAGATGGACCAGTTACCCGGTTTGGCTTCGGTACTGGCGGATCCGACACTTTTTTAGGATCCGGCCGGTACTGCATAATGACTTGTTTGAATGATTTTAACCCTCATTTATGAAACACCAACCAATAATTAAAATTTCATTGGTATAGTGTTTAGACGACCTTCTTAACAGGTAGTTTGGAACGTTGATGAGGGCAATGAAGACATGAACAATTAACTGTAGTGGTTTTGCCGGGTACTCAGCCGGTACCTGGCGAAATCACCATAACCAAATTGAGAACGAAAATTCGGCAATTCGCATCACCTAGTATTTGTGATTCGCATAACGACATTGTAAAACATTGACGTTATTGTCTACTTATTTGTTAAAGATATTAATTTTATAAAAAAATATAAAATTGGTTATAATAATCGTATTCGAAGCCGTAGACATTAGCATCTTTCAATTCAAAAGTTTGACTAAGGGAAAAAAATATACCTCCCGATTTTTACTGCTTGTGTTTGGCTACGATGGCACCATTAATCGAGTGCTGAATAGAGGAATCATTCTTTTAGTTAAGTGTTTTCACCTTTTCCTTTGTGATAATAATGATTATTTTCCCGTTGATAATTTGTTAAAGATAAAGATAAAGATCCAAGTTGTAGAAACATAAGGCATAATGGTTATAACAAAGCGTAATTTCTGCACTAGTTTTATATATAGTTGAGACGTTCAAAATTGGCAGAGTCTGCAATAAAACTGTCGTATTTATTTTCTTCTTTCAACTTACTAACCAGACTAGAGCGGTTGTTAACAGAACGACTATTTTTACTCGTGACAGACGTTGTAGGGAATTTCGCAAATATAGAAAACAGATGTCACTTTGTCTATACTACCTACGAAGCATTTTTTAATTTAACAAAGGCGTGTTCAGAAAGCAGCAAATGACTACAGTCCCATGTGGAAACAAGAAGAAAGATACGTCCAAATCATTTATTGTAGACTTTGCCAATTTTCATCGTCCCAACTGTAACTTGTAATGAAGCCATACTATGGTGAAATGCTGTTACGCCAAAACGAAAAGTGTGGGAATTTTTAATTTTTGTTTATTTAAGTTTAAAAAACGACGAAGATAAAATGAAGTGTTGAAACGATTAATTTTTTTTTAACTTTTATTTTCATTTTACTTAATTGCCTATATGACACCTGTTTTGAGTGAATATTCTTTTTAGGCTAACAGAATCGATAATTTCGATGATAATTGAAAGAGAATAAATTGTTTGCCATAAAGGATTACAAGTTGAATTAATCTTCTTCTCTTCTCATAAATTTTAACATTAATTAAACTTTTAATGAGTAGATTGCGAGAAGATGCTTACTTCGGTACATTAAACATGCAAATAAGACAATATTTGTGTAACAAGCTTCAGCGTGAAGCTAATAAACGAATACGTATATATATCCACGTGCTTATCAACCCTATCAGAGTACTTAATAGAGAACATTATGTTCTTGTTCAATAATTAATAGAAATGTGGATTGCGATTTAAAATACATTTATATCTATTACATTTTAGCATAAATGTTAGGTATATTTTTAATTATCTTTATTAATATTCTTAGGTATATGTTTTCTGTTCTGTTAGTAAGCGTTATCTTGTACCCTCAAGATATTTCTTGCAAATCTTGTTTTATAGAAAGTTACTTGCTTTGACGTGATGTACGTAGAATTCCTAGAACCGACCCATAGCAGGTACTGTACGGGTAGCATTCTAAAAAGTCCAAAATAGTAGTAGTTGTTCTCGAATAGTTGCCTTGTTAATACAAACTTTTTCCTTCGCTTATATTTTTTTGTCTACAATAGTTTTTATCATTAATATATTGGTTATTGGAAATAAACTCTGCTGGTTATTTATTTGAAATCCATCCCTTCAGATAAATATTTAACAATATCAATACTTTACGAAAGCTTCAACGTTTAGTAGCGGTTAATATTTCACTACAGATTCCCTCAAGTTAATGAGGAAAAATTTTGTGCTGTGACACCCTTTCCGTTAATTTGTTCTCGGAAAAAACAATGTCAGAAGGAAACACATAACCAGAGTATCGAATGTATACATTCCTATTACAATCTAGCAGCTATGGAAGTGTTATAGACAAAACAGTACTGTATGAAAATCAATAAAAGTAAAACAAAAATACTGGTATGCAAGGAAAAAAAAAGTAGAGAAAGAGCGAATATAAAGATATGAGACGAAAAATTAGAAGAAGTGGCTGATTTTAAGTATCTAGGAAGACAAATAAGTCAGGACGGAATGAGTAGTAGGGATATAAAGCAGAGGATTTCGTAGGGTCGAGTCCCTTTAAAAAAAAGAAGTCACTTCTGTGACAGCGCTGTACGGGTGCGAAACATGGACAGTGGGCGCGGCGGAAAAGGAAAGGTTAGAAACGTTCGAAATGTGGTGTTACAGGCGAATGATGAGGATATCGTGGATAGAGAAGGTTAGTAATGAAGAGGTATTAGAAGGAATATGATAACATAGGACTCTATGGAAGTCAATAAAAAATTGGCGGGATAGGTTGGTAGGGCATAAAGGTCTAGTCAGAGACATATTAGAAGCAGAAACGAAAGTTAGGAGGGGTAGAGGTAGATCTAGATTAGATTACTGTTCGCAAATAGTTAAAGATATGGGTTGTTCTAGTTTTAGGGAAATGCGAAGATTAGCTCAGGATAGGAAAGAGTGGAGGTGCGTATCCAACCAGTTTTAGGACTGACGACCTTATGATGATGATAATTTTCTAATGAAGATAAATGTTTTTTAACGATGGATTCTTTTGAAATTCAATAAGGAGCGCATTTGTGCAAAATTTTGTTCATTCTGAAATTATTTTTAGTACTGTTTATTAAATGTTGAAGTTTTGCAGAATGGTTTTTACAAGCTTTTATTTAAATTGCAATGTGCTTATGTAAGTTGTCCGCGTCAAATCTTGCAAGCCATTTTTTGATCACTTCTGGTTATCCGATTGAGCTGAAATTATTCATACTTTTGTAAGTTCCGTGACAATGCAATATTATGATATTATTAGGATTTGAAACCCGATAGAACACCTTATTAATTTGTATACCTCTGTACTTTGTAGCACGCGCCGCTGAATCTTCGCTTATCTATTCGAATGGGATAATTGCAACTACATTGATCAAGGTGGACTCCTTCTTTTACACAACCTGGTGACAAAACTTGTATGAACGAGGGAGAAATTTACATAGGAATAGTGTACGCGAACCGTAAAATTGCTTATTAAAATCACAAAAAGCCTTAAATAAACGAAATTTTTTTCATAATGGCATACGCAGTTTTCTCCTCCTACGAAATTTAATAAAAAGTTGGTAAAAGGCTGTAATAGCACTTCCAACAAGTACCTTGAACTGCGTTTCTATTATTCTCCGATGAAAACTAACTGCTTTACATATATCTATAAAAGCTATATTTGGAAAATTACAAAAGAATTGTAAATGGAAAAAAGAATATGAAAGTAGTAGGTATCAAGGAGGTAGATTTCGAATTGAAAATTGGTTTACGCCTATAACTATTTTAAGGTTAGAAACTTAC